ACATTATGTGATGCCTGGAGTAGAAGAGGAATGGGCCTTATGATTGAAGACATCCCGTTCCAAATGCACATTGCCAAACCAAAACAAGCCATTAAAATAGCATAGCATGAGTTAAATACACATGCATCCTTTACTGAACACATTTTCAATTTGGTATTAGATGGGTATTTTGTAGAGCTACTGGCTAGTTTTATGGAAGATATTTGGACCTTTGGTAGACTGATCTTCTTTCCATAAATTGTGAGATCTTATCAATCTGAATCAAGAATAAAGTTCTGTGCTACAGCCCTAGTTTGTGATCCCTGGGGCTTTTAAATAGATGTAAGCAATTTGTGTTGTATAAAATGTCACTGATCAGGAAAGAACTTGGCAGAAGACAAGGGTTTTATTAGGCTAAAAATTAAGTAGCATTTGAAATGAGAATTGCTGAAGTGTGGAGAGGCTTTAGAGTAAGAAAAAAACTGAGGATCTGATTGGCAAATAAGGTTTATTCTTACAGGTAAGATGTTCTATGCTTTAGGGAACACGACCTAATGCACTTTACAGTTTGCTTTATTGCGGTTCATTAGTTCAATGAACTACAGAAAATTTATAAATTATATTTAACTATATAGATAAGTAACTGTTCTAAAAAAATGCTCATAAAAATTTTTCTTCTTAGAGTGTAAATATTTTTCCAAAGAAGAACAGTCAGGACTTTTAAACTTTTAAATGCACAACCCTTATAAATGGAGACATTTATTCTAAAATACATGCTTTAGAAAATCTGATACTATTGCTAAATATTTTCTCTCTCAAATAAAGATCCATTCCTTTAAAGAATACCTCTCAAACTGTATGAAAAAAAAACCCCAATTATCCGTGCAATCTGAATATTTTAAAAAAAGGATAACTTTTATTACAGTGTGTATTGGCACATCATCATTCGCACATGAAATCCTCAGAAGCCAGCAAGTGGTTTTAAAATACCATGTAACCTTAATTTTGGCAGATACTTACACACCCTTACCTAGTTTAGCAACAAGGAGCCCTGCTACTAGGTAGAGATCTCTGTCACTTACTAAAACTGAAATTTCACTTCATTTCTATATGCAAATTGTTAAGTGCAGAAAGACATCTGATTTACTGGAAGCTTCTATTTGGTGAATGTGCAGATAGGGAGTGCTTCTGGCATGTTGTTCACTCCAAGAAGACAGGCTTTATGGCCATCAGGTTCTTGTGTGAGCCCACGGTGCGTCCTCACCACCAAAGTTTATGCAAGCTGCCAGCGGGGCTGCGTTAGGAGAGACCTGGACTCCAAACCAGGGGAGGTTCCTGTGCTGGCCCACCCACGGGCTGTGCCGGGAACAGTGTGTCCAGATGTGGACAACTCTGCTCAGCGGGTACTGGAGAAAGCTGGAGAGGGTCCCGCAGAGGGTGGATGATAACATGGTCAGGACCTGGAGAGGCCACGGAGGCTAAGGAGGGGAACAAGAAGCTAAGGGGTGAACTAATAGCAGCCTACAACTACTTGTAGGCTAGTTCAATGGTGGAGTTGAACTCTTCTTGGTTTGTTTTTCTGCTAGAGGAAAGATCTTGTGTGTAGTCATTTATGAACCGTAATCAGGTGACTCTCAAACTGTTCTTGAGTAAACTAGGAAGTGAAAACTGTCTGAGTCTTTCATTATGAAGAGGATTTCCAGGCTGTATTTGTCCCTGCTTGCGTTTTTGGAACACTTCTACTTTTGAACATCTGTTTTGAAGCACATGCACCGTAATAGCACCTGCTAGCCCACCAAAGCATGTGCACAGATAGCACCACTGAACTCCTCTGCACCATGCCCTGCTAGAACATCCAAGAATCACCTCGTCCTTGTAATTCAGACTACCTGACTGACAGCTGAAGTCCAGCTGCATGTGTAACAAGTTGGTGCTCACTTTCCAGTTGCAACAGGACCTCACTAATCCATTTCAAACACTTCTCTGGCTGTAGCCTCCCAAACTTACAGCTGCAGTCATTTTTTATTGCTAGGTTGTGTTAAACATTATATAACACAGTTTTTCTGTTCAGTCTATCAAGTTTATCCCAATAGTTTTCAATGACTGAACCTTCCTTATTGTTAGACTGCAGACTTATATATTCTTTGCAACTGTAGAAACAGCGATTTTTACATTTTTCTCTGTATCTTTATAAAATAAATTGAATAGACTTTGAGATAAGAACAGTATTTGTGAGAACTTCCAATAAATTCTGCATAATTTGACCAAACTAAATCCCGTTCTTGTGGATAAAGAAAAGACTAAAAAAAAAAAAAAAAAAAAAAAAAAGGTGGGCATTGGGTCTGTAAAGGGACTTTCACTCTCAAATCCAAATTTTACATATTTAAAGCACCTACTCAAATACTACAGAATCTTGGCAGAAGTTCAGCTCCCCACATGTTTATATTTCATGTGCACCAAATCTTGACAGCAGCTATACTTTAGCAGGGCAAATTAGCTATGCCCCCCACCCATGGGTTTTTTTCAGTATCTCCTCCAGTAAATTGCATCTAATGGTCTGAAACTTGCACAAAATGCAGCCAGGAGAAGGTGAGCATGTGAGCATGTTCCACTTTCCCATAGCCTAGTTATTTGAAGTCTTGCCTAATGTCTGGGAGTCTGCCACTTGAAGAATTCATCAACCGAATTTGCAGTGGTGATTAAACCCAGCTCTCCCTCCTCCACTGTGAAAGCTTTAACCATGCAGTGCTTTCTCTTGTTCCTATCCGCTTCTTTTTCTGCAAGATAGTCAGACATCCCTGGCCAAGAGCAAGACCAGCATAAAATCTGGTAAAGGGGAGGATGTAGGTATCCTCCAGTGGACATTTCAGTGTGTCACAGAGTTAGGACAGAGCCAAAGGGAGAGTTTGTGATGCTTGCCAGAGTCCCATCACCTTGCAGCTGAGAACCTCACTTTGAGAATCAGCTTCAAATTCCTGCTCCAAACTGGAGGAAGCTTTGAAACCTCTTCATGCAGGGTGTGACAAGGAGCGCGATATTCCGTAAGCGTGTTTGGTATGCAGAAGCTGTCCTGCCCAAAGCAGCTTTGAGCCCAGTCCATGCAGGACAGTGGTCCTCCTAGCTTGCAAGGATCTAACTCCCAGAAATGGCTGACTGAGCATCGCCTTGCATCATTGCTCTATCTTCTTAGCTACTTTGGGCAGTTCCTACCTCACCATGCTAGGATCCCAGACATTAGGATCCATTATCTGCAAAGAAATGCAGGACATCTCAGTGAGGATCAACTATGCAGTGGGGAACATTAACGCTAATCGTTGTTATACTTGCACTAAGCTTAAGTCTGTTTTTGTGAACATTACTCAACATGCCCGTCATATTTCAGGATTTTTTCCTGAATTTCCTACCAAGTTTTTAAAAATTCCAGAACTAATTCTGTAGAAAAAAAATTGGCATTTTCCCCCATTCTTCCCATTGTAAAAGTGACTCTTTTTGATTAATTTCTTGCGATAAAAGAACACTCACCAGCTGGATGAGTATGGGTGAATTTTGGTGAAAGTGTTAAAACTTAAAGGAAGGGACAAGCAACTGAAATTGTTCATCTGAATTTTTAAAGCATGATAGTATGGCTCAAGTTCCTGTCTATTTTAATAGCAATAAAACCCATGTTAGTATATGTTAATGATGAAGGCAGAGAAATAATTGTCATCGGGAAAATATTTCTAGCATGTTCTATACTGATATGAAGCCCAATATTGCTTAACACTATCTAGTGCTTTTTCCATTTGTGTCAAAGTAAGTAGAAAAATAATTGCTAATAAAATCTGAAAATAACAGAAAGTCAACAAAGCAATAAGTAAAGACAGCCATAATGGCAACCCTGTAAGTTCAAGCCGAGTGAAACAAAATGTGTTTGAGTATAACCATATATAAGGGTGGAGAAAGGTGATATTGGGAGTTAGAAACAGTGAAGAAAAGATTATTTAAGAGATTTTGTCTCTGTATAACTGAGACAGCATAACTGAGACTTGTAATAATGGGTGTGTCTCTGGTGCCCGTATTTTTTAAAGCAGATGGAAACACTAGAGAATGAACAGAAAAAGATCCATGAAAATATTTAGAGTTCTTAAGAAAGTTACATAGAGTGTAATATTTAAAGGCAAAAGAACACTGAGAAATTACTTGATTACTATAGGCAGTAACTTCATGTAAGAAAATATTGAGTGCTAAAATCTATTAGACAAAGGTTTAACAAGAAGTAACCTGGGATAGTGGAAGTGTCCCTGCCCATGGCAGGGGGGTTGGATCTAAATGATCTTCATGGTCCCTTCCAACCCAAACCGTTCTATGATTCTATGATACTGTGATGCACAAAATGAGAACTTTCATTGGAGATTAAAGCCTGGCCTATTCAAATTCAAGCTGTTCCTTCAGAAAGCATGATAAAGGAAGATCTTTGGATGTCTTCAAATCAAGAGTTGATGCGTGGCTCCCTTTGCAAATAAATTATATCACCTTAGAAAGGGGGTAAT